CAATTACATTATATAAGAAAAATTAAAAACAATTACAATTATTGAACCTAATGATGAGTATAAACAATAAACAATGAAAAAAAATACAAAGACAACATTGATCATAATATTCAATACACATAACTTAACATTTATCCAAGCAACATTTAACTAAAAACACAAAACATAAAAAGAAAACAAATAACAATCAATTAACACTAACTATAGCAATTTTTGTTCTCAAAGGAAAATCCAAACAAAGTATCCCCTGCAACTATCTCCTTGAACAATTTTTAGCTCTTATACTACAAAAAGCTACACATTTAAATCATTAGTCATTTGGCAAAAATCAATATAAAAAAATATTTCAAAGTCTTAACATAAATAATAACATGCATTTATTAAATAGTGTAAAACCAATCTAAACAAGCATTTTTCAGCAAAACATATACCATCCTCAACCTCTAGATTCGTTAGCATTGACTATAAACTTCATTCAAATATACCTCTTGTTTCACAATGAAACACACACACACACACACACATATATATATATGTATGAAGTTGTATAAAAAAACCATGAAACCAAAAAACAACTTTGCATTCGGAAAGAATTTTATGAATAGTTTAAAATTCATGAAAAATAAATTATGTTCGTTAGATATTGTAAATGTCAACAAATACTGTTAAGAGACAAGTTATTTTCAATATAGTCAATGCACACATGATATAATTCTCCATTTATAGGTTATTAGATGGAACTTTTTTTTAATAGTAATTCTACATCCACTTTTTGTATTTTTTATTTTTTTGGGTGTTTATGATAAAATGATGAATGAGAAATTAAACTAAGATTAAAAAAATTAAATAAAACAAAACCTAATAATAATAATAATAGCAAAAAATAAAAATAAATATCCATGGAAAATCTACACCATGTAAAATAAGAGAAATTTATAAAAAAATCTAGAATAATCATGTTGTCAAAATTGAAGTTATGACAATTGTCCCCTTTTTGCAATACTTATGTTATAAAGTCAAATGAAATTTTTTTTTTCATTGGCTTTGCATAATAAGTTGGTAAAAAAAATAAAAAAATGTTTTTGGACAATAAAATCGATCTAATTGTTTTGGGTGACCTCCCATTTTAATGGTCTTATTGTTATGGTTGACCAACCCTTTTAATGATCTTATTGTCATGGACTACTTGCCCCTTATTGATGGTCTTGTTGTCATAAGTGACCTACCTCTACCGATGGTCCGGTTGTCATGGCCAACTTGCCCCTACTAATGGTTTGGTTGTCACGGATGACCTATCCTTACTAATGGTCCGGTTGTTTGGGTGGCATGCCTTTACTAATGGTTTGGTTATTCCAAGTGACATGCTTCTAGTGACCTACCCCTATTGATGATTTGGTTGTTTCGGATGATCTACCCCTACCGATAGTATGGTTGTTCTAAGTGACCTACCCCTACCGATGGTCTTATTGTCATGGGTGACTCGTCTCGCTAATGATGGTGATCCGATAAAAAAAGATTAAGTATACGAACTGCTTTCGATGATTGACTTTTTGAAAATAAGATCGGAGAAACAAACCTCCGATAAGTGATCCGATCTAAAAAGATTAACTTTACGAATTGCTTTAGGTGATTGACTTTTTAAAAACTAGATCGGAGAAATGAACCTCTAATAGGTGATCCGATAAAAAAAATTAAATATACAAACTGTTTTGGGTGATTGACTTTTTGAAAACAAGATCGGTGAAAAAAACCTCTAATAAATGATTCGATAAAAAAAAGATTAAATATACGAATTGCTTTAGGTGATTGACATTTTGAAAACGAGATTGGAGAAATGAATCTCCGATAGGTGATTTCGATAAAAAAAGATTAACCATTATAAAAAAAAATAGCATAGTGACGTAAATCAATGACGTATTGCAATCGGTAGCTAAATAGCAACAGATTAACAAACGGTTTTTGACTACCATTGAAATATGGGTGTTAGAGACGAACTATTCATCATTAAAATAAGGCGATAAAATATTCATGATTGTTTCAACAATGAAATTTCAAGGATAGTCGGAGACGGATATTTCAATCCGTCTTATTTTTAGGTTTTCTTTTGGATCTTATTAGCGAGGAAATATTCCATCGCTAACTCTTGATGTTTTTGTCAATTAGTGACAAATTATATTCATCGCTAACTTTACCAATAATAACAACATATCATGTCGATCGTTATTTTTGGTAAAAAGAGGCAATTGTTTGAAATTCAAAATCAGCTATAGACACTTATATTCGTCATTGATTAGTAACGGATTAGCAACAGAGTCACATCCATCACTAACATTAAATCCCTAAATTGGTAGAATCCTCTTTCTTCCTCATTTCCTTCTTCCTTCTCCCTCTCCTCCGTTTCGTCGCGACCACCTATCAACCCCGTCAATGCTTGTAACACCTAACAAATACTATTCCTTCACTTTCCATCAATTTCCAGCCACTCCATTCGTCTTTTCTCCCAAACACAATGGTAATTTCCTCCGTGTCGGTGTGCTTTACCTTGTGTGTCCTCTCTCTCTTTCTCTACCGAAAGAGAAGTCCAATTATGTATATTTATTTCTCCTAATTCTTACTTTATATATAATTTATATGAGTTTTGTGTAGTACTCTTGATTTTGCTATTTTTTAAGTGTTTGAAATTTTATTCATTTATATATATGTAATTAATTGTCGATAAATATGTTAAAAAAAATAAATTTATGTTATTTCAAATTTGATTGAGTATATTTTTTAATTTATTAGAATCTTTTTGAATTAATTAGGTTTCGATATTGATAAATTAAGATAAAATTTTAAGTATGTAATTTGTTATATGATTATTAAAAATAAGGATAAAGTCATTTGATAATTAAGTTATTAAATTTAAAATAACATATTAATTTTAAAATTAAAGTATTATTTTAAAATTGATATAATATCTTATTATTTAAACTTAAAATTTAAAATTTGATAAATTAATTTTTGATCAAATTTGTTTGATATACATCTACATTTCTAGCGAAATGGAGTTCGCAAAAAATTATAGAGGTGGTCGAATTTTTTTTTTATCCTGGACTGCGTAGGTCTAGTCCTCCAATCCTAGGCATGCGAGCTAGGTGCTCTAGGCCCAAGCACGCAAGCTAGGTGTTCCAGGCCCTCGGGGACCTAATCTTCCAACATAAATGCGCTGGCTTGGACCAGTGTTTTTTTTTCTTTTCTTTAATTTTAATTAATAATTTTAAAGAAAATATTATTGAACATCGAATGATATTATATATATATATATATGCCCAAGCACGCAAGCTAGGTGTTCCAGGCCCTCGGGGACCTAATCTTCCAACATAAATGCGCTGGCTTGGACCAGTGTTTTTTTTTCTTTTCTTTAATTTTAATTAATAATTTTAAAGAAAATATTATTGAACATCGAATGATATATATATATATATATTTCATATTATATTATTTTTATTATTTAAAATTTATTTTTTCAATTCATTATTTTTTATGAAAATTCTCATTCAATTAATTTTTTTATTTTTTATAAAATTTTATTTATTGATAAATTTATTTTATTTTTCTTTATATTTGAATTTTATAATAAAATTTTAAAACATTATTTTTCTCTTTTTTTAAAAATAAATTGATACAGTATATATCATAGAATCTAATATAAAAGGTTAAAAGTATATTTCAAATAATTATCTCAATATTGTCATAACATATAAAAAAATATTAAATCATCAATTTTATTAAAAATTAACTATATATCTTGACACATAACACTAACTATTTTTTTTTTGAATTTTTTTTTTAATATTATAGAATCAATTTTTTTGAAATCAAATAGTTAAAATAAATTTTTAAAAGAACCACACAATGATTCAAATATAGTTTTTATGCTAATATTATTGATTATTTTGTAAATAAAAATATATAAATCAAATGCATATACTTTCAAAAAATAATTTTTTCATCAACATTAAATAAGAATAAAAAAATTATTTTTTATTTGTTAATTTTTATACAAATCTATACATTAATTGTAGTTTTATTTTTTGAATGCAATCTTATGAAAAATATATTTTAAAAGTTTTTTTAATTCTTTATTAATATTTTAATTTAAATTATTACAAGTTTTAATTTAAAAATCAATATATAAAGAAGAATGAATCTTGTTTTTTAAGTAAAAAAAATTATGAAAAATATAAAAATTAATTAAATATAAATTTTTAATTAAAAATTATAAAATAATTTTTTTGTTAGATCCGATAAGTAATTAGGGCAACCGACTGATGTGTATATATATATATATATATATATATATATATATATATATATATATATATATATAATGGGCAAGGCTTGATGGGAGAAATTTTATAATACTTAAATAGTAACTAGTGGTATGTAAAGTAATTATTTCATAAATATACTTTGAGAGAGAGATAGACACATAAAAGAGAAAAGAGAATTACATCCGAACTCAATAAAAATGATAAGAAGATTTCTACGTTGGTTCAATTTTTTTAAAAATTTTTTCTTTCTTTTTTATGTGTTAATCTCACTTTTTAAAATAAAATTATTGAATAACTATTATATATATGATATTAATTTTTTATTAAGTATTATAAAATTTATGAACATGATGATTCCAGTGATTCCTTAAAGGTTTGGACGTGGCACGTTGCTAGTACTGCTTCCAAGTGTTGCCCCAAAGAAGCCGTCGATTCCAAGTTGGTCAAACCCAAATTCAATTCATACCCTCCGGACAAAAACAGTTCATTTCATTTTTTGATTAGAAAAATATTCAATTTGCACAGTATCGCATCGCTTCAATTAATGCATATTAAATTAGATATCTACTCATCTTACACTGTCCCAAAATCTTGAATTAAATAGCTAAATATTTTATTTAAGTTTTGACCATCATTTCCAAGTTTGAGACAACCAGTTAGAGAGTGAGAAAGCACTAGGAAGACATGGCCATTCAGTCAACTGTCTTAACAGACCCACTTCTCACTTCAAGCCCATCAAGAATATCCATCGGAGGTAAGCATTCTCTTTCATCTTCGTTTTCTTGTTTTCGAGTTTCTCTTTTGTTTTTTGTACTTCTTAGTTAGTTGTGTTTGAGCTTTTCTTGGATGATTGTTTGATGCAAACCAAAGTTCTTTTCTTAAGTTTTGTGAGTCGAACTTGTTAACTTAGTGCGAACTTTTGAGTAATAGGCTGTCTGCTGCAGAATTTGGTAACCTGTAGTTAACTTGCCGACATCTTTCATTGACTTGATGAAGTGGACTTTGATTTGAACAGAACAATTTTTGTTAGTTCCTTACTTATAAACACAACGATCTTGTGTAGTGAAATGATCTTATCGTATGATTATCAAGCTGAACTTGGGTGTCTGCGAAAGGGGAACATAAAACTAGAAAATGATAGATCATAGATGTTAATGTGTATGTAATTGTTTTAGAAAACCACGAATCCCTCTATCTCAAATTTGACGTTGAAATTGTAATATCAAACCTAACTGTTGTGCAAATGTTCACAATAAGAGACAGGATAGCTTCATCTTTCTTTTCTAGTGATCTTGTTCTTTTATGATCTTGAACTTTTCAGACTTGTTGTGTTTGAGCTTCTATGGATATTTGATTTTACTGATTCAAACTTATAAACTTTAAGTAAAAACATTTGATTACTGAACTGTCTGCTGAAAATTTTGAACCTGGAGTTATCTTCCCTGCATCTTTCTTGAACTTAGTTATTACTAAGGTGACTTTTAGGTATAGATAACTACAAAACTTGGTTAACAAAAGCCTTTGTTGACCTTAAAAATCACTAAGGCAGCGAACTGTCTCAAAATGGAGCTTTCACCCCCCACTGAGTTTCAGAAATGAAGCCAGTTTATCTCATCCAGATTCCTGTACTGGGATTGGGAACAAAAAAAAAAAAAAGACAACTTGGAATTGTATTTCCATGGCCATTCAACAACAATGTTCAAAAAAATAAAAGTGAACTGAGTTTTAATCTTTGATCTAATTTTGGTTCTCTGTGGCTAAATTGAATTCTGCATGAGCTCAATTGTCATGTAAAATGCTGTTGATTGTGGTAATGATAGTAGATATTTCCTGTCCAGAGGTGGCCAGCACAATTTCTCTTAGTACAGCACACAGGAAAAGGTTGTATTCTACAAAGGACAAGGCAAAAGGCTTTTTGAATCATTAGTTACAGATTGTTCACTTTTCCATTTCTGCAGCTTTTTATTTGTTAAGGCCACTCAGACTGAAGTGTTTCTCCACTGCTTGTCAAACATTCTCCTGGGTTGAATTGCAGTGGACATATTTATTCACAGCATGAGATTCCTAACTGTTGATTGTTCGTTATGTTGTCAATGATTTATCCTCCTTATTGATGTTTGTTTTGTTTCTTTCGATAGGTGGAGAGCAATGGATTGGGTCTTTTTCATTGAAAACAAAACCTTGGCATCTGAGGCTTTCCAATGGAAGCAGAGCAAGAGTAAGAGCTCCTTTGAATGCCGATTTGAAGGCAGTTGGCATTCCTCATCAATGGTACAATGTCGTTGCAGACCTTCCAGTGAAACCTCCTCCTTCACTGCATCCTAAGACATTTGAACCAGTCAAACCTGAAGATTTATCTCCTCTCTTTCCTGATGAGTTGATAAAGCAGGAGGCAAGCACTGACAAGTTCATAGATATCCCAGAAGAAGTTCTTGATATTTACACGCTCTGGCGCCCAACTCCATTGATCAGGTTTGTTATGCATTAAAGTGTTTTGTTCCTGTTCCCTGGTCAGAAGTATCTTATACGATTTTTTGTTGCATTTAGAGCCAAGAGGTTAGAAAAACTTCTTGATACGCCTGCCAGAATTTACTACAAGTATGAAGGTGTCAGCCCAGCCGGATCACATAAACCCAACACTGCAGTCCCACAAGTATTTTACAATGCGCAGCAAGGCGTCAAGAATGTTGTGACAGAAACTGGTGCTGGCCAATGGGGAAGTTCATTGGCCTTCGCGTGCAGCTTATTTGGTCTCGAATGTGAGGTAGACAATACTGAAGTTTTTTTATTAATCTCAACACATATTTCCATGCATTGAAATAGGCTGAATCAATTCAGGTTGCTGATTAGTTTGGTTACCTAAAAAACTATTGTATCGTGAACTTTGTTGCTTAAATTCTTGCTTCATTTCTACAGAAACAGAGAGAGTGTAGTGCAAGGTTAGTAAAATATTCTTCATCTAATGCCAGGATGGCTAGATTGAATCCAATTGCATCTAGGTGAAGTAGCTTACGCCACCCGCAGCCCACTAGTTTATTCAAGAGCTCACTTTCCTAGGGTTCTAAACCACAATGATCCTGCATTTAAATTTTGTAAGTATTCTCAACTTGCAGCCAATGACATCTTCTTTTGAATCTTTTTTACAGGTGTGGCAGGTTCGTGCTTCCTACGATCAGAAACCATATCGTAGATTAATGATGGAGACCTGGGGTGCAAAGGTACACCCATCTCCATCAAGCATTACTGAGGCAGGCAGGAAAATCCTCCAGATTGACCCATCAAGTCCAGGAAGTTTAGGAATAGCTATCTCGGAAGCTGTGGAGATTGCAGCTACAAATGCTGACACCAAGTATTGCTTGGGGAGTGTGCTCAATCATGTCTTGTTGCACCAGACAGTCATAGGTGAGGAGTGCATAAAACAAATGGAGGCTATAGGTGAAACCCCTGACGTGATAATCGGATGTACTGGTGGAGGGTCCAATTTTGCTGGACTCAGTTTCCCATTCATCCGAGAGAAGCTCGATGGGAAAATCAATCCAGTCATAAAAGCTGTTGAACCTGCTGCATGTCCTTCACTAACAAAGGGTGTATACACATACGATTATGGCGATACGGCAGGAATGACTCCGTTAATGAAGATGCATACACTAGGACATGACTTCATTCCTGACCCTATTCATGCTGGTAACGTGATGTTTCTATTAAAGACTCGGATATGTTATAGTTTTTTTTTTTTCTTATCCAGTACTGTAATATATTTTCTGCTCTGTAGGCGGATTGCGCTACCATGGCATAGCACCATTAATTTCACATGTATATGAGTTGGGTTTCATGGAAGCAATGGCAATCCCTCAGATCGAGTGTTTTCAGAGTAATAATCTTCCTTCTTCCAGACTTGCACTGATCATATAAGTTTCGTTTATGTTGATAGCAAAATCATTTATGAACTTTGAAATTTACAATCAGATTGTAGAAGTGGGGATCCATCATCCATGCACGAATAGTCTTGTAGGCAAGAAAAAAGAATGTTAAGTTTACAATTATATTCCATTGCAGGTGCCATACAATTTGCTCGGACCGAAGGACTAATACCGGCACCAGAGCCAACTCATGCAATTGCTGCTACCATCAGGGAAGCTCTTCATTGTAAAGAGACTGGAGAAGCAAAGGTCATTCTCATGGCAATGTGTGGACATGGCCATTTTGACCTGACATCTTATGAGAAGTATTTGCAAGGAAAGATGGTTGACTTGGCTTTCGAAGAGGAGAAAATACGAGCATCGCTGGCCGAAGTCCCTCGAATTGCATGAAATTAAGCCAATATAAATGATGAACGTTTTAAAATAAAATCAATAAAATTTTCTTGTTAGGTGAACAAGAGTTTTGATATTAAATTCCTTATTATTGGAACTTATAGTTGTTGTGGGTTAGGGTTTCCATACATATAAAAAGCATGTCTTAGAATTTCAAGTCTTGAGTCGCACCATTTACCTTGTTTTCTGAATCTATGGTCTTCTCCTCTGAACTATAATAATCGATTTTCTTTATTAAAAAAAAAAAAAAAGCAGCACCAACAAACTACAAAGCGATAGTCCATTGGTAAGCAATTTATAAATCACTGTCTCTTAATCATGCTTAGGGAAAAATTAGTCTTAAAGTACATAAAAACTGATTCGTGGCCATACTTATTGCTAAACCAAAAAAAAAAAAAAAAAGAGAGCACCAACAACAACAACCATGTTCATGAATTTGATTTGTGGAGGTTGGTAATTTTTTTTCCCTCCTTTAATCTCCCTTGAATCATGTATTATGAGTGTGATTGGATTTTAATGCTAAACTAGTATCTGAATTCAGAGCACCCTTTTGTCGCCTCTTACATTAAGAGTGAACTCATCTATAAATTTGTTAAATTATAAGGATAATTACTATAAAAATGTTCTAAAAACAAAAATCTTCTACCTGAAAAGTTCGTCAATTTATTTTTAAATCTCTCAAACCCAAAATAATATTTTTCTTATCAAAACAGCCAATAATTTGTTGGGTGTTTTGGTAAGAATTATTATTTTGGATTTGAGAGATTTAAAAAGTATATTGGTAAGAAAATTATTGTTTTGTGTTTGTGAGATTTAAAAATAAATTGATAGAATTTTTTTATAGATATTTTTAGAGGGTTTTATGGTAATTATCCCTAACTTAAATGAAACCATTATGTTCTAATATATGTATTTTTATTATGGATGATCGGGTTTTATTTAATTAATATATCAAAATATGTTTTACATTCATCATGTAATTTAATTTCATTACTTGATAAAAAATGTTGTGTTTTGATTAATTAAAAACTAATACTACTCGATTACTTATGGTGTTTTTTTCTATCAATATAATAGAATTTAAGAAATTACTAATGTTCATAATCATACATATTCTTGTTTTTCTCATTTGTATGATAATCATTGGATTAAATTACAAGAGAATAACATAAGTCTCATTTCATTAATTAGTTGAATTACATCGGTTACTATAATTACTAGATAGTAAAAATAATCTCGTTATTGATGAAACAAACAATCGATAGAATAAAAAAATAAAAATTCTTGCATAAAGAATTTTTTAATATAATAAAAAAATAGTAGCTAAATGTCTGTGTGTCAGCAATCAAAGTACCTCAAAAACCTTTTTTCCCCTTTTGATTAGCATAAAAAAGAACCTAACTTGATCATGAAAAAAAAAAAATCAGTATCAAAATCATTAAAAACTATGAAGTGAGTTTATTATTAGATAATTACTAAAAACAAAAACCCTAAAAAAAAATCTTTTATCTAAAAAATCTATCAATTTATTATTATTATTATTATATATTACCAAAACACCCAATAGTTAACTAGGTTAACTATTGGGTGGTTTGGTAAGAAAAATATTATTTTTGGTTTGATAAATTTAAAAATAAATTGATGAATTTTTTTATATATAAGATTTTTTAGAGGATTTTTCTAGTCATTATTCCTAAATTATAATATTTTACTTGAAATTTTTTCAGAAAAAAATTATATTGGAAATTTTCATTTCTTTGCAATTATAATATTTGTAAAAAATGTTGAGATTTTTTTGGAAAAAAATTAAGAAACAAAAATATTGTTAATTTATGATGCAATTTCAAGTACACCATTATTTTGAAGACTACTTGAGTTTATCTTAAGATTTCTTTAATCTATAGACATTGTTTTTCTTTTTCTTTATGTTCGAATCAAAAGAGTCTCTCACACACACAGTGTGTGTATGTTACAAGAAAAATTATTGGTGGAATCATGGCCTACAATTTTTTTGTCATCTATTTTTGCAATTATTATTATTGTTATTGATGTTGTTGTTCTGAAATGCCATTATTGATCAAGAATATATCTTCTTCAATCTAAGAAGTGTTAAAAAAGCCATTGCTTCTAAATACATAAGTTTAATATGAATGTTTGTTCATGCCCAAAGGGATTTTGTCTTTATACCGTTTGAAATATATGGTAGGAAGGTGTTGTGAGATTTTCAAGTTTTATTATTATTTTTAGTTTGTTAAATATAAAGAAAAATTTAATTTGATTCTCTTGATTTTTTTTCCCATTCAAATTAGCCACATGTCCTCCGTTAGTATAACAAAATCGTTTTTAAATATAAATAGACCGTACGGTAAAAACACTCCGATTATTATATATAAGTTGAGGAAACAAACTAATCAAACATTCATACTAGTAATAGGTCATCGACCTATATTATCAACGACAAATAGTCAAATAAATTTACAAGCAATTAGTAATTACTGCTATGTATTGCTATCCTAGAAGGTGTAGAAGTTTTAAAAAAAATGCATAATAAAAAATAATAATTCTATATATGGCTTGTTTAAAATTTAATCTCATGAATAAAAATAACCCAAAAACTTTCTTGCTATTGAGAGGGGAAAAAACCAATGTTATTAATTCTTGCTATTTATAAAAGAAAAACAAAAAGAGATAAAAAAGAAGTAAATAAATAAAGAAAAGGAAACCTCAATTTAACCCTTAACTATTATCTCATTATCAATCCATTTCCAAACTTTTGATTTGATCAATTTTGCTTCAAACATAAGAGCAGAGGGATAAAATGAAAAGGATTGGGATTTAATTGATATTAGAGTAACACCTTAGGGGCTAAATTAAGGATTCCCTGAAACAAGAGCATGGAACGTCGTCGTTAACAATACCTGGATGTAACTTTAGTAGCTCTGAGAGGAGAGCTCGCTTGCACCAAATCGTTGTTTTTTCCAATCATTCTTGAACGCTCTCTTGAACCATCTCCTTCCAGGTAAGCCTTAAAAGCGTCATCGTCTTCTTTTTTCTCTTCGATTTTCATCTTTTATTTTCTTTATTTCGTTTCAGTTTTTGTTTTATTAATATAATAACACAGCAGTGGTTTATTTTCACAAAAAGTTTACTGGCGCTAATTATCTCAATTTCGTTGAATTAAAAAAATGGGATTTTTTAAAAATATTATATGTTATTAAATTTGATTATTATAGATTGTGAACTGTGATTAATTTAAGAGGTGGGTTTTTGCAAATAACTGTGTTTAATTCTGAATTTTGTGTTCTTGGCTTGCATGAGTCGATGTTTTTGCGTCTACATAAAATGGGTAACGATCGAATTTGATTGAACATAATGTAACATGAAATTTATGATTTTTCAAGGAGATTGTGTGTGTGGCGTGAATAGAATTGAGACACTTAGTTGGATATGGAAATTAAATGATTTCATTTCGGTCTGGTGCTTTTGCTGTAATCTCTTACTGGTTTTTATTTAAAAATGTGGAGAAATTAACAGCAGGGCTTTTCAATTCTGTCAATTTATAGCTGCCCTCAAAAGCCAAATCATTGGTAATGCAACTTTGATTATTTACTATAGTCTTACTAGTAATAGTTCTTGATACAGGTTGGAATTAGATAATTTTAAATGGGAAGTAAAGGTCGAATTCCGCCTCCTCATTTAAGGCGTCCTCATCCAGGACCTGGTATAGTTCATCCTGATTCATTTGGTCCTGGAGCGCGTCCGCCGCCTGGTTCCTTTCCTCCTTTTGAGATGTTACCTCCCCCGGAAGTTATGGAACAGAAGATTGCTGCGCAACATTTAGAGATGCAAAGACTTGCAACAGAGAACCAGAGACTTGCAACTACACATGGAACCTTGAGACAGGAACTTGCTGCTGCACAGCATGAATTGCAGATATTACATACTCAGATTGGAGCTGTCAAGGCTGAAAGAGAGCAACAAATGAGGGGACTTATGGATAAGATAGCCAAGATGGAAACTGAATTGAAAGATGCAGAGCCTGTAAGGTTGGAGTTGCAGCAGGCTCGGGCGGAAGCTGAGAATTTGGTTGTAACGCGGCAGGAACTGATGTCTAAAATTCATCAGTTGAGTCAAGAACTTCACAGGGCCCACACAGATGTGCAGCAAATTCCTGCTTTGATGTCAGAACTCGAGAGTCTCAGACATGAATATCAGCGATGCAGGTGCTTGTTCTGTTTTTACTTGTAATTGATTCTGAATTTACCGTAGGAAAAATTAGTTCAAATGTTTGAATATTTTTGTGGCTTTCCAAAATGCACCATTCTAAAGCATCGTTACACCCATGTCTGCTCTGCTGACTTAGTGCTTTCATTACCTGATGGTGTGCACTTTCCCTGTATAAGTTTCTTGCAAATCATTCTGTTGGACTCATTTTTTCCCAGTAGAATCTTTACGGTTATCATTTTTAATCTGATTTCTTCTCAACATGCTTATGTGTTAACTCTTATGACTGATTTGGTTTCGCATATGAAAATTACATCATCTGTTATCACTTTGACTGTGCAGGGTTTCGTATGACTATGAGAAGAAATTATTTCATGACCACCTTGAACAACTTCAGACAATGGAGAAGAACTATATTACAATGTCTAGGGAATTGGAAAAGCTTAGATCAGAATTGACTAAAACAGCTAATGTTGACATAAGAAATGGTAATCTTTTTGTTTCTTTTGCTCATTTGGAGCTCCTTTTCTTTCTAGATTTTGTTGCATATTATATGAGATTCATTTTTCTGTATTTAGTTGCAGGAGGGCCTTATGGTGGTCCCACTGGGAACAATGAGAGTGAGGCATCGGGGCATCCTGTTGGACAAAATATATATGAAGATGGCTACGGCATTCCACAAGGCCAGGTGAGCCAAATTCCACATTAACAGGTTTCTTAGTTACTTTTTGTCTTGATCTCTTTGAAGTTCTAATCCTCTCTTTTTTATTTTATTCATGTAACGTTCTTATGGAGGGATGTGGATGTTATTTTACATATCCATTAGAAATGTCTTGTTGATTTCGTTTTCTGTCTTCACTTCCTTATTAGGACAGATAGTTAATGGAATAAGATTAATTTCAATGAGATCATTATGCCTGAACAACATTGTAATGTCTTGATCTGTGATTTTTATTGCTCCGTCATGAGCTGTGAAATTTTATTTATTTATTTATTTTTTTCTGGAAACTAAATCTAGAGGCTGTTAGGCTATTGTTGTTATTATTTTGGGAACGTATGCATATGCTTGTTTGTCGAATGAATGTTGCAGAAATGTGTATGCAATCGTTCTGGTTAATGCAAAAAATCCTTGACATGCATATTAGTGAACCAATGCTGCATACTTTCTAAGCAAGTATGTTAGTTTCATATTTATCGTAAATCTAGATTTGGAATAAATTATATGCTAATGTTTGAAGCGTCAGAAATGCGAGGGAATGATACTGAACTAGACAAACATAATATTAACTGCTTAGAAAATGATGATAAAACATAGAGGTGGTTTCTGGACGTCAGGAACTTGATTGCTTCTGAAATTGAATTTATCAAAGGGGAAAAAAAAAACCATACAACAAAACAAAATTAGGTGACTATTCCTGAGAAAATACCTTCATATTCTTTGGGCTGTGTTTCTTTGAAGACTTTCCTTGGCTTTGGAGGTAGAGCATTCATCTCAAGAATGAATGTAATGTGCTTAGTACTAGAAAGATGGGAAATATAAAATCAAAAGCTGGATTCCAGTGTTTGACCTGGTCTGACTCATTTAAAGTTGTGGCCAAATATAATTGTAATTGGAGTTGCAGTATCAGATGGTTAATTTTCAGTGTTTACAGCTACTTCAGAGTTGCCTACCAAAGAATCAAGGTTATTATATTTTAGACTCTTTTAACCCTCTAGAAGTCTCTTTCAATTTGGATATGAAGTGGCGTCTACATACTGAGCTGCTTATGTATCTATAGTTTGCAATTGATGGCTATCATATGGTAGGTGGAGTAGTAAAATGAGCTTCTTAGTGGTTCCCAATTAAAGCCTCTTTTTGGGACAACAGATGGAAAGTAAAAGATTTAGTAGTATGAAATTTTGAAGAAATACAACTGCTTCTCACAAGTGAAAACTGTAAACTTGCCATTGGTTATCCTAAAACAAGCCTGAGAAAAAGCAATACCTTTGGGGCATGCATAGTACTGATTATATATAATCTATTTTTGCAACGCCGATTTTGCCTTGTAGAATTAAAACAAGAGGTTGGTGATCGGACAAAACTAAACATATGCTGTGTTACAAGGCTTAAGCAATTGATCATGGCCAACTCTGTTGGGCAAGGGAGTCGTCATTGCTGTTGTTTTTGTTGCTTATGTTGATGATGTAGATGGCTTAATATTCTTTGTCAGCTTCTAGAAATGGAAATGAAGTGAAAATTGATAGGATTTGTGTTTTATGCTACAGGGACATTCTGCCCTTCCTTCCAACTCTGGTGCTGCAATTACTGGTGCCGCTGGTAATACAAGCACTGCGACTCCTTATGCTGGGGCTCAATCTGTTGCTGCACCCTCAAAACCTGGTTATGAGGCACCAAGAGGACCTGGCTATGAGCCACCAAAAGTACCTGGTTATGATGCATCGAGAGTACCTGGCTACGACATGCAAAGGGGACACTCATATGATGCTCAGAGAGGGACTGGTTTCGATATGCAGAGAGGGACTGGTTTTGATCCACAAAGAGTACCTGGTTATGATCCACAGAGACTTGCTGGTTATGACATTCAAAGAGGACCTACATATGATGCACAAAGAGGACCAGGTTATGATGTTCAGCGACTACCTAATTATGATGCATCAAGGGGTGTTAGCTATGATGGGGTATCTAGAGGTCCCAGTGGACCTCAAGGGCACGTTGCACCACCTGCAAACAATATGCTGTACAGGTCTGCAACACCACCGACTCATTCTGGAAGTGGATACGAAGCACAAGCTAGAGGTGCTGCTGGGCCACACGGGCAAGTGGCCCCTGGAAAAAACTTGCCTTACGGTTCTGCAACGCCGCCAACTCGTCCCGGAAGTGGGTATGAGGCATCAGGTAGAGCTGCAAACCCTGTTAGGAGATGAGCATTGAGATAATGCACTTGCAATGAGATATCAGCTAACATCCCCTCTTTCTGTTCTCTGTCTCATTTTTTTTTATAAGCCTAGCTAGTGCTTTACAGTGCACGGTCCATTAGAAATGCTGCATTTGTTGCGCAGCCACACTCTTTCCCTGTCTTGTTTCTCTAGGTTCACTAATTTCCCAATAGTTCTCATATGTCGATCCCTTGCATTGATGGGATATATTGCAACATTGTATTACAATTTTTGACCAATTTTAGTGCTTCACCACTTGCTTCTGTTTGCCGTCTCTGGTATGGGGGTGAGGCAGATTTTCTCAGGCAATTTGCTACTCGATGCCCTTCATGTAATCAGGCCTGATCCGAATTTGAAATTCTTCCTCTTCTCTTGGAAACTGGAAATTGATGCCTGAAATATGGATCTTCATGCTTACCAAATCAAAGCAATAGAGTGGAATACACCCTGGATTAATAAAATTGAAGATTATTTCGGTAATGTAACAATCTTTAAACTGCACAAATAAATAATTGTATTTATTCATTCATAAAAATTGCCTTTTTTCAGGGAAAAAAAAAAGAAAAAGAAAAAAAGTGTTCAGTTTTTGTAGTTAATAACTAGTTGGATGCTTACGTAATGCTGTGGTCCGGCAATCATTACTTGTGTAAGGTCGAAAATTCATATGATGTAGTACGAGTCGGCAATCATTACTTGTGTAAGGTCGAAAATTCATATGATGTAGTACGAGTAGACGATTCATATAGTATAATGCGAGTGGAATTTTTATTTCTAATGATTAATGTAAATCGAATGTACTTGTTGAGTAAAATCGTTTTATTTATATGTATTTTTTAACAAATTAATCAATAATATTAAAATAAAAAGTCTGTATTTGAATAATTGAGAGGTTCTTTTAAAATATTATTTCAATTATTTTATTTGAAAAATATCGATTTTAGAACAAGAAAAATAATAAATAAAAAATAATTATTGTTATGTGTATAGATGCATAGTTAATTTCTAATAAAATTAATAATTCAAATACACACGTACACACACATTACAATCATACTTAGCAATCATACTTAGTAGATTCAAAATATATAACATAAATAAAAAATATAAAAAAACTTATTTAAATTGTATGGAATATATTAAAGTCAATATATTGAAATAAAAAATATTACAAAATTGGTTTCAATAATATATATATATATATATATATATATATATATATATATATATATATATATATATATAAACTTGTGAATTCTATATTTTACTTGATTATTTAATTTTTTTTAAAAAAATAAGTCAAATTATCTAAAACACATGAGTATGCGCGTGTGTGTGTTTATGTTATTATGTTAATCTCGTTTAAAAATCACATATATTTCATCATCATCAAGCTATGAAAAACACAAAAAATAACGTTCAGTCTTTCATAATTTTTATCTCAAAATCCATAATTAAAAAAATTAATTAAATTATTTTAAAAAAAAAGGATACATGGCTGCCTTCTCTTTTAGTTTACTGTATAATTTGTGATTTTATGATAGTTGCTACTTTCAAGAAATATCCATGCCAGCGTAAAGTTGAAATAGCACATTAAGTTTTCATTGGTCATTTATTAGAATTTTAAGAGCAATGATATATAAGAGTGTACCAATAAGATATTTATTCAAAAGAAAAAATCACCTATAAAGAAGGGTGAAAGAAATTCTTAAATTGTAAAATAAATTATAAATTAGTATATCTTGTTTCGAGAATTGAATGAATTAGTCCTTTTAGTTTAAAAAACTAATTACTTAATCCTTTTAATCATTATTGACCACGATTAATTTCTTTTTATAAAATATCTTTTATTCTCATCGATCTTTTCATATTTTCACTTATTTTTTATTCATTTTTTACTTTTAAAAATAAAAAATCAAACTAAATTGAAAAATAGAAAAAAGGATCAAAAAATTAGTTTTTAAATTAGAGAGACTAATTAATTCGTTCTCAAAGATTGAGGGAGTGAATACAATTTAGTTTTGAATACCAAGGTGTTTCTCTAACGAAAATGAAGGAAGAAAAGCAACGGAAGATAAAACATTAAATGCTATACGTGAAAGAAAGTAAATTACGAAAAAAAGGTCAAGAACGAAAATTAAAAGAAGAATTAGTCAAGAGCAAGTATAAATTTTCATAAATTTATTTATTGAGTGACAATATCAAAATTAAGAGTAAAAAAAAAAGATTTTTAGTTTCTTTTACAGTGGCCAAAGAAAAATTATGAAAAAGTCAATGGACAAAAACCAGCCAATAACCCCCTCTCAGGAGAAAAGAAAAATTAAAAAGCATCAAATTGGCAGGCTAAACGACTAAGAGAAGGGCGCACGTCTGATGGACGGCTGAGATGAAAAAAAATGCACCTGCACCTGAGTCACAATGAATAAACATTATGTGTCTAAGCCAACACTAAATGAATAGTGCTCGAACAATAACAGTCCTAGTTTTTTTTTTTTTTTTTTGTCAATTTAATGGCTACGGAAAATGATAGGCTACACTCTATAGTCTCCACCTTCAAAAAACTAACACGACTAACGAAATCTATTTCAGGCGAAGCTAGAGCATTTTTTTAAAGGGGCAAGCCTAAAATTTTTCAAATTTGTATTGATACATGTTTTATTAGATTGTAAATATTCTATAATTCTGACTCCACATTTAACTTTGTCTATGCCTATTTATATAGTTCTCCTATGAATTTGAATATTAACTCATGTAGAAATATAGTATATAACATAAGTTAGCAGAATTTTTTTTTTTTTTTTGAGAAACTGAAACTAAAATGTTTTGATAGAGTTAAAAAATTCAAATTAGAAATAATAGTTTAATGTAATGTAATGATACACTGCATTATAAAATAATAAATATAGACATTTGACAATATAAGGTGTGATGACTATAGAAAGTAAATAAATCAGGAAAACTGTTGAAAATGAGTTACGAAAATTAAAATGAGAATATTTTATTTCTTGTTCCTAGCATCATCATATTATGGCTAGGCAAAATTTTAAGGAAGAACTATTTAAAGCTAAATAGTACAAATATTTTCTGAGTTTTAATTCAATTGAAAATTAGTTTTGTAAATTTTAATTTCGAGCCGGATCACTTTCTAATTATTTTATTTATTTAAAATTGAATCATTTTGTTAATTTTTTTTTATCAATTTTAACGTATAATTGTAAATTTTTTAATATTTAAAAACATGCCAAATTTTTTGAATATTTTACTTTTTCTTTCAAAAACCTATTTTTTCCCTCCTAAATGCTAAAAAAAAAAAAGCAAATAAAAAACGTTCTAGAGAAAAAAAAAAGAACAACTTTTGAAAGAAAAGGCAAATCCTTCTTAAGTTTTGGTATATTTTTAACTTTTAGAGTTATATTTATTTTTAGAATTAAAAAATCCCAGTAGAAAAATGTGATTTTAAATAAAAGATAATTGAAAAACAATTTAATTCAAAATTGAAAGTTAAAAAAATCTATTCTCAACCAATTTGAATTTAAAAAAAAAAAATTTAAACCAAGAAAGCATTAATGGCCCCTCATGCCAGCCTAGCCGTCTGCCATAAGACTATTAGGGTACATCCATGTTGGCCACGAAAGCTGAAACCAAGAAAGCAAATTATAATAAAGGACCTGGAGAGGAAGAAACAAAAGAAGAACACTTGAAGGATATAAAGGTCATAGCACAAACCAAAGAATGACAAATTGAAAATAAAGGGAAAATTAAGGGCAGCAAAAATACAACTTGCAAGACAAAAATACAGAAATACAAACTCAACACTAGCCACTTAAAAAAAAAAAAAAATCACCAAATCATCGAACCAAATGGAAGGAAGCAGACATCAAAATGAAAAATTAATGGGACGATCGAATTGCAGACAGCAAGCAAAGAGGTTGCTCTATCGTAAATGAATAATGAACTATCTAGTTTTTTTTAGTTTTCTTTGTAATGTTTGACTGATAGAGCAGACTATTTGTGTGTGAAGTGAAGAAATAGTTTTAATTCTAAACGAGTGTCGAACAAATTCAAGCTAAGATCATCATCCATTTTTTTCGAATAATATTAATATCTAATTTAATTATTACTAAACAAAAACATAATTAGTTTTAAAAGACAAAAGATCAATGATCCTATTAGCATTTTGTAGAGTAAATTATAAATTAGTCCCTCTTATTTTGATAAACAAATTAATTAGTCCTTTTGGTTTCAAAATCTAATAATTTAATCGTTTTTGCTATTTTTATTCTATTTTGATTTTTTTAAAAGAAATATAAAAGAAAAAAAGTAAAAATTATGGAAAGATCAATGAGAAGATGATACATTTTATAAAATAAAAAAATTAATTTAATTGTGATCATCACTGATTAAAAAGATTAAATGATTGAGTTTTAAAACTAAAAAGACTAATTAATTTGTTTCTCAAAAAAGAGAGGGACTAATTTATAATTTACCCACAAATGAATTCATGAAAATCTAGTTCGTACCATTTCTTGCACTATTTATTTATTTTGCATATTCTACCTTTCGATATGCCTTCCGTGGGACAATATACTATTCACATCAATCATTAGAAATTAAAATTTTTAAAAATCTCACATCATATGTTATATATTATTGAAATGTTGACTCGAATAATAAATTGATTTGTTTTTCACAGTCTGAACCAGATTTTAAAGAGAGGTTCAGACTTCCAATGAACACATGAATCGGGTTACGGATAACCTATCCAACCCAATTAAGGGATGAACTTAGCTTTGATGCATGAAAACGGATTTGAGCTAACAATAAAAAGTCAAACTTGTCTTTTGTATCAGGCCCAACCAAACAAAGCCCATCAGAATCCTAGGTCCAAATTTCAAAAGCTTCGTAAAATTCAAAAATTTCATTTCCCGGCAAGCAAAACCAATTCCCCTTCCTCCTCTCCCCGCTCTCTGTTTCTCTCTCTCTGCAAATGAAATAGAATATAGAAACGATACGTTTCGACGCTCTCTCCTCTTGAACCGAAGCGTCAGAAAAGGTGAAATCTCTCTCTTTCGATTCTTAACTTTTGGTTTCATTTTGTCATTTATGGAGCTAGTGAAGCTATAATAATTGTAATTAAGCTTGATTAATAACCCGATAATTTAGTTTCTAATCAAAATCTGTAATTTTTTGGTTTAGATTTTGTTTTATTTTATCAATTTTAAGCAGATTAGGTATTCATTAAACCGCTATTGATAAGAAAAAAAGTTCCTGATTAATGTAAGCTTGTAAATTTGGGATATCAATTTCATCTTTAGGGTTTTTATTTCATGATTTTATTTTGACTCTTTTTCTGCAGCAATTTTTTTTTTAAACTGGAGTTCGTAGTTTTGATGGATTGTTTTTGAGATTATTGCAGAGTCGATGATGGATTGCAGTGGTATTGAAGGCATGGAATCTGTGGTGGCAACTGTTAGTGGCTACCATGGCTTTGAGAGATTTAACCTAATTAAGCTCATCTCTCAATCCGGTGCGAGTTATGTTGGTGCAATGTCAAAATCCACTACACATTTGGTAAAGTATAGGGATGGCGTATATAATGGGAATGTGTGTTAGGATTGAATCGGTAGTGTAGTTTGGTGATTAATGATTTTTTTTTTTTAGGTATGTTGGAAATTTGAAGGAAGGAAATATGAGCTAGCCAAGAAGTTCGATACGATTGTTGTTAATCATCGGTGGGTGGAAGAATGTGTAAAGCAAGGAAAGCGTGTGCCAGAGTATCCTTATATGTTGGAAAGGTATGGCTAAGCATATTTTGGAGCATCCCTATTTTAGAGCATATATGGTCCTCTTGTTATAACTGAAATTTTGAATTTTAAGATAGATATATGTTTCTCTGTTTGGGTCTTTTATTGAAACCTCATTTTATATTTTGGGAATCCTTTGTGACATCAATCATTGTGTTTGTAATTATGGATTCATTCATGTTTGATTAGCGTTTGTAAAATGCTCCGGGGCTGATGCTTATGGTTTTTGATTCTTTGCAGCGGACAAGAAACGGGGCCCCTAGTCTTGGAAGTCCTAAATGTTGATAAATTTGGGTCCTTGAATAAGAACTGCAAACCATTGTCTGACAAATCCAACATCTTTGAAGACTCTGAAAGACAAATAATTGATGTTGATTGTGAAGATTCTGGCGTTGCTGCATGGACTGATTCCTTTTTGTTGGATGATGTAATGAGAAACCTCTCTCTCGCTGGCACACACGCAGAGACACAAATGTGGTGCTTCCTTGAGTCAAACATTGCATGAATTTCTGACTAATGATGCATAATTTATACAATTAAATGGCGATCAATTGATTTGCCATTATACTAACTATTTCAATTTATGCGTTTAAGTATACGCATGATAGATGTGCATAAATAGCTGATCTTGAGAAAAGTGAATAAAAGACAAGTTAAGCAAGTTAAATTGATAGGGTAATCAAATTAGTGGGAAAGGAAAACCATGATATGCAAAGGAGTGATTATTTTTGTATTAAGTTAGAAATTTGAGTTTCAATAAAAGCTCCTTGAACCCCAGCCTTTCAAGAAAGTGCACAGGCAGTGTATCTCATACTGTCCATTTCTTTTATTTTTTATTTTTTGGCATCTTGAGTGTGGTAGCAACAGTTCGTTTGCAGAAGGAACAACCATTTTGAAATCCTAGCGTCAGGCTTATGCTTATGGTCCTCTGCTAGTCAGGAAGCGTTTGGTGTACGAAAATAGAGTCTCTTATAATTTTGGCTCTTCAATTTCATTTATTTGAGTTTATACAAATTAAAATATCTTTATCATAGCTTTAATAACTAACTTGTGAGAATCACAAGTAACAGTGATGCAATGAAGCTAGCAATTCTACATGCTATGCTGTCTGTTAGTTTACTGCATGTCTGTGGAAATTGAACCAGAAACTGGCAGGCAAACATTCACGATTGAACTTAGGATAATTGAAATGCTAGCTTTCCTTGTCCTTTGAGGTTTGACTTTCCAAAAAGAATTTCTGTTAGCCTTTTTGCAATAGCAAGTTATTTATAGACAACACAAACTTGAGGATATTATTATTCTTCTTACTTCCAATGCATTGAAATAAGCCTTATGTTTGTCAGTATGATTGATTTGGGTAGGTCTATTTAGTGATTGAGAATGAAACAATCAGCCACTGATTCAGTAATTGGTAATTTAACTGCAGAGTTTGGTTCTTGATGTCGGGAAAAGCAACAATAATTTATATAAATCAAAGCTCAAAAAGGCAAAAAAATCTTCAAAGCACAAAAACTGTTCAAGTAGCAGATACTGTTTTCAGGACCCTCCTTTTTCTGGGCTAGTTGGATTGGAGGTAATGAATTCTATCAATTTTTTTCCCTGCTTCGTGTACTCATCCATATCTATCCTTTGAACTTTTTCCTATTGTTCTAGTTTTCTTTACATACTCTCTTTTTTCCATTAATGTCTCACAAACTTTGTGCATTTGAGCTGAATATGAAATTCTAGCCTTTGAAGCTTCTAAACTCTACATCCTACGACATTACTGATCTCTTATTTCCTAACATTGTTACTTGATTCAAGTGATGAAAAGCAAAGAAAAGGTGATCCACGTAGAGATCACATAGAACATTGCTTCGCCTTAAAGCTTGAGCATGTTCAATAAAACGGACAGTAGAGAGTGACAATATTTTGTTTGCTTCTATCATCGCTTCCACAATTTACTGGTGGCCACTGACAATCAATTAAGAATTATGGACTTTGGAATGGCTAATTCTTAGCCATTAGGTAGATTTTACTTTAAAAAGAAAAAATATTTAGGATCACTTGGTTTTTATTCTCTTCAACATGTTTTTGAAACATATACCTGTCTGACATCATTTATACAATCATAAGTTCTTCTGTCAGCTTAAATAGATCAACTGAAAAATGAGTTAGGCAGATAGTAAAAATGAGTTAGTGATAGAAAAGTAATCTTTTTGCTCTGAAGCCAACTGTTTTAGAGTATGGTGTCATTCAGGGATAATCAAATTCTGCAAAGATTAGAAGTCCGTCTAGAAAAAACTTTAGAATCCAGTCTTACGGACTTATGTGTGGCAGGGACAGTCTTGTTGTTTTTAAGTGGGACAATGTAGCTTTCTTCTATGTCTATGCACCTTGTCATCTGTAACTATATGTCTGTTATTTCCTGTTCCTACATGCAGTTCACAGTTATGTTCTCTTTTTGTCTGCTAAGGATCAGTGTTTATTTTGATTTTGTGTAGTGATTTTATCGTATCGAAAGCCATATTTATCTTTTATGAGCTTTTTTTTTCAGCAATTTGTTTGATTGTTCCTTCATCAAAAGGAACCATTTGATTTTTTTTTTTACTGAATAAAAATTCTCTTGTTTTCCCCTTTGAAAGCATGGAGGTTCAAGTTCTAATTCTTCAAGATATGAAGAGTCAGATATTGAGTCTAATATGCATTCCGTTAGGGGAAGAAGGAATACTTTTTGCGATACCGGAAGCACTTTGGCTGAACCTTCTCGTAAAGGTCGAAGGCTTGTGAAGAAAAATGTTGCCAGAGACAATTTGGAAACTGTGCTTTTTGATTCTGACCAAGAGAGGCATACAGTTAGACTTTATGAGAACAATAACAATAAATCAACATCTAAACGTACAGATGGCAAAAGGAAAATTAATATATTTGAAGCTAGAGGAACATCTGATGTTGCTGTGACTAACAAGGGTTCTACAGTTGAGTCTTTAGACGATACTGAAGAGGGCACACATTGGAATCATCTATCTGTTTCTGAGGATTCAAATTCATGTCCTGACGGTGCACTGACTGCATCAGAAAGAGCAGATGGCTCTGGCTCATCTGCTGAGAATTTAAATGCAAAGTTTAAAGATGTGGATCATTTTGAATCGGTTGCCAGATTACCTACTCCAGCAGAGTTATCATGTGTTATATGTTGGACCGAATTTAGTTCAACCAGAGGTGTGTTGCCATGTGGTCATCGATTTTGTTATTCATGCATCCAAGAATGGGCTGATCACATGGTATGCATTTTCTTCCTGTCCAACTTACTTCATTCTGTTTCCATCAACAAACTTGTTTTTATGTTGTATAGAAGACATTTGATGCAGTGAGTTGTGATTTGTGACACATATAATGGATCAAACACTTGGCAGTCCTGTCATGTTTGTAGTTTGTACCTTATCGTTTTTCTTGCTAAATTCAATTTTCATACATTCTTCTTGCTAGTTGCATTTGAAGAGATGCGTTTGTCATCTGAAAGTACAGGTTTCCCAAATTACTATTTTCCCCCTGAAATGACAAGAAGGATAGTGAATTATGTTTATGAACTGTCTCAAGCATCTTTAGGTTTGATTTTTGGATTGTTACAATTCAGCCGCCGTTTTATAACTTTTCCATTTGTCTACTTTGATGGGTTTATCTTTACCCTTCGTATGATTACGGTTGAAAAGTTTTCTTCTGCTGATGATTCGTGTAGGCTTCCAGGAGAAGAATTTCAACCTGTCCTCTGTGCAAGGCTGGTTTTTCATTCATAAAGAAGGTGGAGGATGCAGCCACCTCTGATCAAAAAATTTATTCTCAAACTATACCGTGTGCCTCATCAACAGTAGATGTTTTCGTTAGTATGCTTCAAGAGCAAAATAGATTTGGTGCTGAGGTAAGTGTTTGTATGTGTGAAGTTCATTTAAGTAGTCAATTTTAATCAGGATTACATACATGTCCCCATTACTCTAATCAGTTGTCATTTTTAAGACTGAAGCATCACAAAGTCCTGCATTTTGGCACAGTAATTCCAGGCTTACTGCACTAAATGCAGCCAGCATGTGTCAGATCACCAAACCACGTTATTCCATAATGCCGAATGGGGGTTAAGCCTAGATAAATAATCTAAGGCTGCTAAAAATTAAAATGCTGAATTCTCATTTTATTTTTCCTTGGGTTCGTGATTGTAGATGCTTAATCTTGTCAAACTTTTTCCATGACAATCATATAGAAACTTTAGTTTTGCATTAGATAAAATGATGTTCCCTTCAGACTTCAGAGCATGATGCTTTTCCAAATTTAAACTCTTATGAATTGCAAGTAAAGATTTGATAATTCATCTTCAAGTCACAAGCAGATCAATTATACATGTACAATCTATGAATGCCTAATATTGTATTATACACTCAGTTTTTGATAATTGACCCATCAACCCTTTTTATGATATTATATTTGTATTCCCATATTTGTACATAGAAAAATGAAAGACGTGTATATAGAGCTATGTAAACTCTGATTGAAACAGTCACCAAGCCCCTGCATTTAAGAATCACCATTTCTTGAAATTTTCTTTACAATATCCGTACTGAAAGTGAAAGAAAAGCTTTTCAAAGTTTAGTTGTGTAAAATGATTAAACGCTTAGCCAGCAATTGTAAGCAATTTGCACAAACAGGGGTCTATTGTAGAAGTATCTGCTTATTAGGTCTTCAGATCCTAGTCTTCTAATCATTTTGTAGGTTTTCGTTTTTGTTTTTATACCATTGGAATCTTGTTTGGATATGATTCTCAATTCAGTTTTTATTATTTATTTTTTCTTATTGAACAGCCCTCATTTGGATCAGTATGTTGTGAATGCCGTAATCGGGAACCTGAGGATCTACTCATTAGTTGTCATCTTTGCGAGATTCGATGTATTCATTCCTACTGCCTGGACCCTCCTTTGTCACCATGGATATGCAGTCACTGCAAGGATCTCCAAATGCTTTATCGTCACAACCGTTAATATGCTTCTCTTCAGCATTTTGTTCCCTCACCAAAGCCTTCTTGGATGGAACGTCTACACTAATACAAGTTCTTGACATGTAATTGACAACCTCAAGATCTGGTATGTCGTTTCCACTCATCATAGTGCCAAAAATATGTTTACTTCTTGGTAACTAATGTCAGGAATCAGCTATACAATCCCTGGCTGCTCTATCGATACACCCCATTGTTATGCACCAAAAATTCATATAATCTGTATGAATCTCTTGTAAACCGAGCACATTTACAAAAGAATTTTGGCCTCCATGTTGAGTCCACGTGAATAAGATTGCTGCTGTAGAGCCTGTAATACTAATTACCAACAAAAATAATAATTATACATCTGTAATATTATTTAGGAATAAAAAAAAATTGACAGCGTTTTTAAATTGTTGATGTGTGTTGTTTTGTTGATTCTGAAGAATGAACTGTTTGTCAAGACCAAGACAATTTAAAGACAGTTCACTCTTGATATCATGGGACATAGGTGCAGATTATTTGGCATGTATTCATAAATATACTAAAATTGAATGGGGTTTTATGGTAGCTAAGCTCTTCTACAATAAAACTAAAGTAGCCTTGTTTTGAGCCTTTTTAGCTTGAAATGACATGGTTTTTTTTTCTTTTGGGTCAATTTGTTCATTTTTTACACTTTAGTTTGTAAAAGTTATTATTTTATACAAAATAGTCCCTAACTTTAAGTCCTATTACAAATAGTCTCTGCATTTTTTCTATTGGGTTGAGCTTTGTGAAAACAAACCCATACAAAAGGGATTAGTGTTAGCCTAGTGATGTCGGACAACTTAGGGGTTGTTTTGGATTTGATTTTTGGGGGTTGTTTAAGGGTGTTTAAGGTTGTATTGAAGTAGATTTTTGCTGGAACATGAGGAAGTATGTGGGTAGAATTCTAGGAGTCACGTCTAGAGGGTAGAAAAATCCTAAACTTCACACCTAGGATTCTTAGGAGTCACACCTAAGGAAGATTGAGTCACACAATCGAAGCAAATTATTGAAAATTGTTTAATATTATTGCATATTGAATATTGAAAGATTACATACTGAATTTATAGAGTTGTAGAAGTTTAAATCCAATTAGGATAAGGATTCTTAAGCCTCCCACATAACTATTCCTAATTAGATTAGGTAAACCTATAACTATTTCAATTTTAAAATAGGAAAACTAACTTTATGTGAAAAATAGGATTAGCTAAAGGTATGTGTATTGCTCTATCTTTTCATTATGCGGGTATGAGCTTATATAATATAGTAGTGCAGCTATATTAGGAAACTACAATCGTACATTAACTAATAGAGCTATACTAGGAAACTATAGCTGTACATTAACTAATAGATTTGATTTAGCTAATTTATAGGAGCTAATTCATCAACTCAATCTTTTAGACCGTATCTTCCAACACTTCCCCTTAAGTTAGCTGGAAAATATTGTCTATAGTTAGCTTGCTTACTAACACATTGAACCGATTGTTAGGAAGTCCTTTTGTAAGGATATTAGCTATTTGTTGAGTCTGTAGGGATGTAGGGAATACAAATGAGTCCACTTTCAATCTTCTCCCCGATAAAATGCTTGTCCACCTCTATGTGTTTAGTTTTGTTATGAAGAACTAGGTTGTGTGTAATTGAAATTGCGACTTTGTTGTCACGAGTAGACCTTTATAGGTGTAGCAATAGGAACCTTTAACTCCTCTAGAACTCTTTTAATCCATATAGCCTCATAAATCCTATGAGCTAAAGCTTTAAATTCTACCTCGGCATTGCTTCTAGCTATCACATTTTGCTTTTTGCTTCTCCAAGTTACTAAATTCCCTCCAATGAAAGTACATACCCGTAAATTTACCTTCCGTCGGCTTTTGCTCTAGCCTAGTCGGCATCCGTATACACCTCCACTTGGAGGTTATTTCTCTTCTAGAACATCAACCCTTGTCCGGGAGTTCCCTTCAAGTACTTTAGGATTCTATAAGCGGCTTTAAAATGCTCTTGATTAGGAAAATGCATGAACCGACTTATCATGCTTACTCGAAAAGGTTATATCTTGTTTTGTATGAGACGAGTATATTAGTCTTCCCACCAACCTCCGGAACTTATCTCTCGTCAATCACATCCTCGGGTTTGGCGGGGTTGAGCTTCACATTTGGCTCTACTGGTGTGTCAACCGCCTTACACCCCAAGAGACCAGTTTCATCTAATAGGTCTAGGATATACTTTCTTCACAAAGATCACCATTTTTGATTTAGCAAATTCCATCTCTAGGAAATACTTCAATGGTTCTAGGTCTTTAATGTTAAAATCTTGAGCTAGCTTCTCCTTCAACCTCTTTATCTCTTCTTCATCATCATCGGTTAAGATAATATCATCAACATAGACAATTAGAATTGTTTGTTTACCTTTTGGTGACCTTCTGTAGAACATGGTGTGGTCGACTTGACCCCGGCAATATCCATGGCTCTTTACTGACTTTTCCAAACCTGTCAAACCAAGCTTTAGAGGATTGTTTTAATCCGTATAATGACTTCTTCAACTTACGGACTTTATCCAATCCATATACACCTTCAAAGCTCGACGAAAGCTTCATGAATACTTCCTTTTCTAGGTCTTCATTCGAAAAGAATTCTTCACATCTAGTTGATGTAATTTCCAATCAAAGTTCACTGCAAGTGAAAACCGAATTCGATTGTGTTTATTTTTGCTACTAGAGCAAATGTTTTCCGATAATCCACTTTATGGGTTTGTGTAAACTCTTTTGCCACCAGCCTTGCCTTTCTTCTTTCAATACTACCATTAGCTTTAAACTTGACAAGTAAACACCCATTTGCAACCAATAAGTTTCTAGCCTTTAGGTAGATTCACTAGGTTCCACGTCCCATCCTTCTCCAAAGCATTTAATTCCTCCATAACAACTAATTTCTAGCTTGGGTCATTTAGTGCTTCTTGAATGTTTCTTGGAATAAACAGATTGGTGACCTTGGAAACAAATGATTTGTAATACTACCATCGACTTTAAACTTGATAGTAAACACCCATTTGCAACTAACAAGTTTCTAGCCTTTAGGCGCATTCACTAGGTTCCATGTCTCATTTTTCTCCAAAGCATTCAATTCCTCCATAATAGTTAATTTCTAGCTTGGGTCATTTAGTGCTTTCCGAATGTTTCTTGGAATAAACAGATTAGTGACCTTGGAAACAAATGATTTATGTTTTTGGGACAATTTATTGTAAGATAAGTGTTTAGACAATGGATGATTGGTACAAAACCTTTTACCTTTCCTAAAGGCTATAGGTAGATGATGATCTGCAGACAGTTCGAGTAGAAGTATCTATAGGACCAATAGAAACAGGTTGATCAACATCATTGATAACTAGAGGCAAAGTAGCGGAAGGATTACTTAAGTTTTGATCGTGACTAGGTTTAGAATGCGAGAAATTTGATTGGCCTTGAGTGGTTTCCGATGATCGGTTCCACTCGGATGATGTGCTTTACTTCTCTGTTGATGTTTCCTCTTTGTATAAACTAGAAGCTCACTTGAGGTTTCGGGTTGTGTATACTTTTTACCACCACTCGTGGGTAAAGGATTAGGAACTATCTCGAAATTTCCTTCCTCACTATCGTGACTCTCCCTCGAAGGAAATATTTCGAGATTCTAAGAAAGTAACATCCATGGAAACAAATGTTTTCCTAGTTGTAGGATTAAAACACTTATACCCCTTTTTATTAGGAGCATATCTTATAAAAACATGTTTTACGACCTCTAGGATCAAGTTTTAATTGACCAACAAAATGAACATACACGAGTGCAACCAAAAATTTTAAGAGGGAGAACCGAGAACAATCATTACTAGGAAAACACTTTTGAAACACATATAATGATGAATCATAGTTTAACACTCTACTAAGCATTCTATTGATCGGGTATGTCGTAGTTAAGACAGATTCACCCCACAAATACTTAGGTACATTTATGAAAAACATTAAAGCACGAGCAACTTCAAGTAAATGCTTGTTTTTCCCAACTATACCATTTCTCTGTGGGGTATTAACACGAGTTGATTGATGAACAATTCCTTTTTCCTTCAAAAAACTTCCTAAATTTCCATTTAGATATTCGGTTCCATTATCGAGTGTAAAATACAAATCTTAGTTTGAAATTGTGTTTCAACCATGGTATAAAAATTTTGAAATACGTGAGCAACTTTTGATTTTTCATTCAATAGATAAACCCAATAGAGTCTAGTGTGATTATTTATAAATGTCACAAATCACTTTTTTCCATTGTTAGTTTTCACGTTTGACGGGCCCCAAACATCACTATGAATCAAGTAAAATGGTTTTAAAGGTTTATAAGGTCTCAAAGAGTACTTGTTCTTGTGATTTTTTGATAAAATGCAGCTTTCACACGAAGTTTTGAACAATCAAACTCCGTAAACAACCGAAGCAACAGTTTCCTAAGATAAATGAAGCTAGGGTGACCTAATCTATTATGTCGGAGAAGAATTTGATCTTTAACGGAGGTAGAACAAACACTACTACAGACCATGAGCCATTTTATTCTTGGATTCTTTATCAACAAAGTAGACATCCCATCTTTAAGTTTAGCATTGCCAATCATCTTTCCCGTATTTTGCTTTTGGAAAATACAATGAGAGTCGGAGAAAATGGCCGTACAATTAGAGTCTTGAGCTAACTTGCTCATAGATAAGAGGTTGCAAGCAAGTTTAGGAACATGTAAAACAAATTTTAGACAAACGAGTAGGAGAAAGATACACGGAACCTTTACCAATGAATAGATGAAAGTGATTCATCTCGCTATACGGACTTTTTCATGACCAAGCACGTCGTTTATATGAGTGAAATAGATGTGAGAAACTAGTCATGTGATCGAAGCTCCCGAATCTATTATCCAAGGAGTGGAATCAATAGGAACATAATAGGAAAAGACACTTAGGATCATTACCTGTTTGTGCAAC